GGGGTTGGGGGTGCCTGGATCTGGCCGTGAGGGGGTGGGGAGACTGGTGGGGGAGGGGTTGGGGGTGCCTGGATCTGGCCGTGAGGGGGTGGGGAGCGTGAGGGGGGGAGGCTCGGTGCCCGGCCCCCCTCTGACGCCCTCGCCCCGCAGGGTCTGTACGAGGAGTGCCAGTACCTGTTCCAGCCCCAGCTCATCGTGCAGCGCCTCGTGGGGATCGCCGTGCTGTACCCTGGCTACGTCAGCACCCAGACCATCACGCCCCACAACCGCTCTAGCCTCTACAAGTGAGTGGGGGGGGCCCTGCTGAGGGGGGTCACTGCTCTGGGCTGGGGGCTCTCCCAACTCCCTGCTTGGGGCTGGGGTCCCCTTCAGTGGCAGGGGATCTCCCCACTTCCTGTCCTTCCCAATAACTGAGCCTAGCCGGGGGCCTTTGGGGGGACGGCAGCAGCAGATCATTCAGTCCCCCCCCCCGTTCTCAGGGGGGCGCCTTTCCCCTGAGCCGGTTCCCCCGTGGGCAGACTCAGTCTAGCTCCCACTGACCCCGGGGTCCCAGGGCACCGGCTCATCATGCCAAAGGGGTGGGGCCGGAGCGGGTGGCGCGGGAATGTCCTGGGTTGTGTGCCCCCCCACAGGAGGGGGCCTGGCTCCTGGCGCGGGGCACGTGGTCTCTGGGGAGGGGCAGGGCCATGGGGGTCCCCGTGGGGCTGACGCTCCGCTCCTCCGCAGGGTCTTTGTGCCCAGCCACACGTCGCGGGTGCTGGTGCAGGTGCTGGGCTGCCGGGCCGGGAACCGCAGCGCCGCGGGCTGCCCGCTCTGGCTGACGGTGCGAGCCAAGGCCCCCCCGCTGCACAACTCCAGCGCGTTGGACTGCCGGGAGCGGGCGCCCTGCCAGCTGGCCCTGGAGCTGCCCCTCTGGCACCACTGGTACTACGTGCTGCTGGAGCAGGCCCTGGGCGTGCCGGGCCCCGTCCACTTCCAGCTCACCGTGCAGCTCACAGGTAGAGCCATGGGGCTGGGCCGTGGGGTGGCTGGCGGGGGAACCACCCCAGGGCCCCAGGACCCGACCCTGTGCAGCCCCCACTAGAGTCCGGGGGGCGGGGTGGGCCCCTGCGCAGTGCGCACAGATGGCCCCGTCCGGGCTCCTGGGTTCTAGCCTGGCTCTGGGAGGGGGTGGGGGCTGAAAGCCAGGATGCCTGGGTTCTCTCCCCAGCACTGAACGTGGGCAGGGCCGGCCATATCGCTGAGACCGGCTGTGGGCAGCACCAGGCCGGTCTTTGCTGGCACCAGAACCAGCTTCACGAAGCAGCTCCCCCCGCACACCGCCCTGCGTCTCTGCCAAGCGCCCAAGTCACCTCAGCACTAGGGCTGTGGCCCCAGCTTTCCTGGAGGGACCCTTCACTGTGCCAGACCCCCACGGGGCCCCTCTCTTCTTCCAGGGAGCCCCCCAGCCCTGTCACCTGTGAGACGGAGCCCCTGGAGCCCTGCCCGCCTGCCAGACTCTGAGAGACGTGTCCCCTGTGCAGGGCCCAGCAGCGCTCGGTCGGGCCGGTCCGTCGCCTGGCACGGCCCGGGCAGCCCGGAGGGTAGCGCAGGGAATTGAAGGGTGAAGCCCCTGAGCCCAGAGCAATTCACCAGCCAGGCTGTGGTGAGCCCATGTTCCGGCTCCGCGTCTCTCTCTGGCCCTCCTCTGTCAGTTCCCTGGTGAGGGTCCCACGGTCACCCCCCATCCCCCACTCCTCTGTTCTGAGCTGGGGTCTGAGCTCCGCTTCCCCCTCTCCGGGTCCTTGGGGGCCAGGTGTCACTGCCCTGGTGACGGATCCCCCATTGATAGGGGGCCTCCAGCTCAGTCAGCCTGGCGACACTCCTCCCCTCCATGTCTCTTAGCCTGCCCTGAGAGCAAACGCAATCCTTCCCCCCACAGGGTAGCCATGCAAGTGTAGGGGGAAACTGAGGCACATACAGGCATCCTAAAAAAATATCACCAAGAACACCCACTTCATCCCAATGCCTGACATTGATCCTAGCAGCAAACACAGCCACCCGCACCCTCACCAGCCAGGCACAGCCCTCCCCAGAGGGAAACTGAGTCATTAACATACTGGAACAACTCCACAAGGGCTGGGGTGGTGTCTAGATCCCTGACAGTTGTGAAATCCAGATTGGCTGGTGTGACGGTGCTGCCTGTGGGAGCCAGCTGAGGTCACTCAATCAGGGTGAACTGCAAACAAAACGGGGCAGACAAACCCCAAATACTGGTGGATATTCCAATACTTAGATTTACCAACCAGCCCAAAACAGCTTCTATAGTACCTCACTGGTTTCAGAGTAGCAGCCGTGTTAGTCTGTATCCGCAAAAAGAAGAACAGGAGTACTTGTGGCACCTTAGAGACTAACAAATTTATTAGAGCATAAGCTTTCGTGGACTACAGCCCACTTCTTCGGATGCATATAGAGTGGAACATATATTGAGGAGATATATATACACACATACAGAGAGCATAAACAGGTGGGAGTTGTCTTACCAACTCTGAGAGGCCAATTAATTAAGAGAAAAAAAACTTTTGAAGTGATAATCAAGATAGCCCAGTACAGACAGTGTGATAAGAAGTGTGAGAATACTTACAAGGGGAGATAGAGTCAATGTTTGTAATGGCTCAGCCATTCCCAGTCCTTATTCAAACCGGAGTTGATTGTGTCTAGTTTGCATATCAATTCTAGCTCAGCAGTCTCTCTTTGGAGTCTGTACTGGGCTAGCTTGATTATCACTTCAAAAGTTTTTTTTCTCTTAATTAATTGGCCTCTCAGAGTTGGTAAGACAACTCCCACCTGTTTATGCTCTCTGTATGTGTGTATATATATCTCCTCAATATATGTTCCACTCTATATGCATCCGAAGAAGTGGGCTGTAGTCCACGAAAGCTTATGCTCTAATAAATTTGTTAGTCTCTAAGGTGCCACAAGTACTCCTGTTCTTCTTTTTGCGGATACAGACTAACACGGCTGCTACTCTGAAATCTTTGGAGTCTGTACTGGGCTAGCTTGATTATCACTTCAAAAGTTTTTTTTCTCTTAATTAATTGGCCTCTCAGAGTTGGTAAGACAACTCCCACCTGTTTATGCTCTCTGTATGTGTGTATATATATCTCCTCAATATATGTTCCACTCTATATGCATCCGAAGAAGTGGACTGTAGTCCACGAAAGCTTATGCTCTAATAAATTTGTTAGTCTCTAAGGTGCCACAAGTACTCCTGTTCTTCTTTTTGCAGTACCTCACTGGTTACTCAGAAGTCCAAACAACGCAGTTCCCTTAAAGTGCCCAGCCTCAGGCCTCCGTCCAGACACCTGG